TATATGATTAGTGGCAATAATTGCTGTGTTGCGGCTATTATTAAAGATGTTGCTACTTTTGATCTTATTGGCAATTCGCCACCTGCGAATAATAATGTGATTGTGGGTACCCCTATTTCATTGTTTAGCCAAAAAATAATTTGACCCAAGATCTCACTAGTCTGAAAATACATTCAATATTATAGCTGGCAAGCATTTATCAAGAGATCTTTAACAATACCTATTTTGTCGAAATCTAATGGCGCGATAAGTTTCTCAATCTTTCAAAAATAGAATCTATGATTTTTCATTTATTGAGAACTTGTGTCAATTTAAAAAGGAGAGAAATATTAGATGTCAAAAGTTAGTCAAATTTCCTCATTAATTAGCGAATAAAAGAGAATAAGAATAGAACAAAATACGAGAACTCCGAAGTAGGAAATTAGATCGAACTGAACTGACCTATTGGGGCTGGGCCAGAAAAATGTCTCGAGACCTGACCCATCCGGCCCGTGCTCACTCTCTGAACTGATTTCTTTGAGAAACAAAGGGAGCAAAATACCTTAGGGGAACGAGTACATAAAGAAAGCTAAATAGTTTTTCAGGTAGTCTAATTAATTAAATCTGGATTTGTCAAGTCTTACTCTTGAAAAATATTTGGTGGAGCTAGGATGCCACATCATCAGCCCATTAAAAACCTGCCATGTTGGCTTTTCACAAAGTGTTGGCGGCAATTTTTTCAACACCAATTGTGTAAAAAATATTGAGTAGGCATGGTTTTTCACGTCGGTTGTAAGTCACTCCATTCCTTGATCAACACGTGGCAATATGGGTCTTCTCAAATAACTCCATCTCTTCTCTTCATCCTTACCCTCTCTCTCTCTTCCCCTCTTTTATTGTCATCGTTACCGATATACTCTCTACCTTCTTCTCTACACTTTTCTTCTTCTTCTTCTTCATTCAGAGAAAAGAGAAACGAAGAAAGGAAGGTTTGAGCATTTGAAGGTCTCTCTCTTTGCTCCCAACCATGCTGTCGTCTCCGCCTCTACCGTCGCCTCTCCGATTTGTTGTCTGCCCTCTTTGTTATTCTCTCTCGAGATGAACAAGGAGGAGACCAAGGCTGTCGCAACCTTCATAGAGGTGAACCACTAAAAGAAAGTTAATGGATTACTAAGCAAATACTTAACTCAGACTCTCATAAGTTCATACCAATTGCAACTTTGGTTTTAATTAAATCATTTAAACATGTAATTCAATTTATTTAGAAGTCGCTATTAATCTATTACGGATTGATTAGAAACTCAAGTAAAATACAGGAGAACATTTTACTGCTATGAACAAAAGAATTCATGGGTACGAGAACTTAATTAAGCTAGATAAAATGTAACGCTCAATAATCAAAACATGAAATAAATTGCTCAAAGGAGATAGAAAAACCTTAATGAGCTAAGCAAATCAAAAGCAAAGCTTCATTATTTCCAATACATCAAGCGTTCTGCAAAATGTTAACTAAAGACCGAAAAATTTATGTGCAACCTTCCTAAATTAACTCACTTGAGGTATTGTCCGCTTTAACCCGTCCCATATCGAGACTCACGGTTTTGTCCTTTGGCATACGGGTGGGCACTTTCCAGGAGGTCACCCATCCTGATATTGCTCCCACCTAAGCACGCTTAAATTTGGAGTAATGCTAAGCTTGCCGTTACGTCAAAAGATACTTTTGTGAGTTAATTCCGCTTTTCACATATATATTCCAAGAATGCTCTTCTTATGTTTGATGCCAATTCAGTTCATTCATACCTCCTTCACCATCCTAGAAGTTTGTGAGGAGCCGCTTTTTGTCCAGGCCTCTCGTCTCGATGATCACTCCCCGCCCTCATTGGATTGGGTCGTTATAGGTCCACCAGCTTCCATGTAATTCGTCTCTAAACCACATACCTATTGAAGGGGATCCTACTCTGATATCATATTGTGACATTCCTGGATTAAAAATGTTGGACATGATGTTTGATATAGCAAAAATACTAGTGTGATACTCAAGATCGAGACACTTATGTCTAGCCAAACTATTTTGGAGGATCTTGTATTTGGAGATTTTTTTTTCGAGAGATGCAATCAAGAAGAATTCACTTCCGAAGCTATAAGGCCTCTTGAAGGGGATTCAAGAGGGAAAGTGTGCTGTTGTGATTGATATTGTTGTGAAGATAGTTCCTGATGTAAAGATAGGGATATTGGGACCCTAGTGCCCGGGTCCATCAAAGTCAATCCTGAGACCTCGACCCCATGCCCGAGCCCTTGGCACTAATGCCCGGGTCCATTGAGGTAGGGCTTGAAGCCTTGATGCTCGTGCCTGATGCCTCGGCACCCGGTCCTAGGTCCACAAAGGCCAAGCATGGAATCCCGATACTCAAGCTCGGATCCCCAAGACCTAAGCCTGAGTTCACAAAGGTCGTGCTCGGGTTCCCGATGCTTGAGCTCTAGTCCTGGCACTCGGGTCCCGGGTCCACAAAGGCCATGCCTAGGTCCATGGTGCCCGAGCTAGGGTCTATCGAGGCCGAGGCCTAGGCCCATGGTGCTCAAGCTTGGGTCCATCGAGGCCGGGCTTGATACCCCAACGCTCGCACCTCAATCCATCAAGGCCGAGCTCGGGACCTAGGTGCCCGTGCCTTGATCTCGGTGCCCGGGTCGAGGTCCATTGAGGCTGGACTAGGACTCTGGTGCCCACACTTGGATCCTCGGCTGACCATGCGCATATTACTAGCACCAAAATAGTGCATGTCTATATAGGAAAAATTGATTAGATTTTCCATACCAAACAATGGAAAATATATTCCCTTTCATTTTCAGGTTTAAGCCAAATACCGGAAAATATTGTTAGTTTCCTGAAAAATGATTTCTTGGAAAATATTTTCCAGAAATATCACATTTTTCTCGAAATAAATGATTATTTTTTATAGCTTTCTTATTGGGAAACTAGGTTTACCGATTACACTATATACATCGCTGGTCAATGCACGTAATTAGTTAGTTTTTTATTATGAATTGATATTCCGATCACTGAGTTGTTGTCGAATCTTAGCATTTCTTAGGGTGCGAATGGTAACCATTCTGCTCCAAAAATCAAATTCTTGTCAGAAATTGATTTCTGAAATTCTTGCCAGAAATTGATTTCTGAAGGAGAAATCTGTTTGATAAAACAGGACTAATTCTGCTCCAGAAATTGAAAACTGGAAGAGAAATCTGTTTGATAAAATAAGAGGAAATTTCTACTTCTGGATGAGAAATACATTTAATAACAGCGCGTCAGTTCTATTTCCGCAACAAAGATAGTTCGAACTCAATTGCAAAATATTATTTATCTTAACCTAGAATGCATGATATTCGAGGTAAAATCTAGTACATTTTTTTAAATCCTCAAATAAAAAGAACATAAATTCCAAAATAACATGTCATTACAAGAAGACCTGGTACCAAATCCTCAATTACACATAATACGAATCCTACAATACAACATTACATTACAGAAGGCAAAAAAAGCAAATAATCCCGACTAATAATAATGGAAGTATAATACAATAGTGGAAAACAGTCAGATTTCGGGAAAATAGGAAATTTATTGAATTTTTCCGAAAAAAATTCAACAAATCAAAAAATAAAAAATTTTAAAACTTCACAGAATGGTTTAGAATACCTGTGATCACCCACGTTTAGTGAAATTTAATTTTTTTTAGGTGCCCAAAAAAATCAAAAAATAAAAAATTCAAAACTTCACAGAATGGCTTAGAATACATGTGGCCACCCATTTTTAGTGAAATTTAATTTTTTTAGGTGCCCAAAAAAAATAAAAAAATAAAAAATTTCAAAACTTCACAGAATGGCTTAGAATACCTATGGCCACCCACTTTGATTGAAATTTAAATTTTTTCAAAACTTCACAGAATGGCTTAGAATACCTATGGCCACCCACTTTGAGTGAAAATTTAAATTTTTGGAGGTGCCACAAATTTAAATTTCACTTAAAGTGGGTGGCCACAAGTATTCTAAGCCATTCTGTGAAGGTTTGAAATTTTTTATTTTTTGATTTTTTGTGGGCACCTAAAAAAATTTAAATTTCTCTCAAAGTAAGTGGCCACAGGTATTCTAAGCCATCCTGTGAAGTTGTGAAATTTTTTATTTTTTGATTTTTTGTGGGCACCTAAAAAAATTTAAATTTCACTCAAAGTAAGTGGCCACAGGTATTCTAAGCCATCTTGTGAAGTTGTGAAATTTTTTATTTTTTGATTTTTTTTGCCATCTCAAAAAATTTAAATTTCAATCAAAGTAGGTGGCCACAGGTATTCTAAGCAATTCTGTGGAGTTTTCAAATTTTTTAATTTTTAATTTTTTGATTTTTTTCGGGCACCTCAAAAAATTTAAATTTCACTCAAAGTAAACCAAAAATTCATTTGATAACGGCACATCAATTCTATTTTCGCAACAAAGATAGTCCGAACTCAATTGCAAAATATTATTTATCTTAACCTACAATGCATGATATTCGAGGCAAAATCTAGTACATTTTTTTAAATCCTCAAATAAAAAGAACATAAATTCCAAAATAACATGTCATTACAAGAAGACCTGGTACCAAATCCTCAATTACACATAATACGAATCCTACAATACAACATTACATTACAAAAGGCAAAAAAAGCAAATAATCCTTGAATAATAATAATAATGGAAGTACAATACAATAGTGGAAAATCGAATTTCATGGAATCTTCGGCATATGATTATCCCTAGCCATTTTATTGGCAATACATTTCCTAATAATGTTCATCTCGGTTCCCTCTTTGGTCGTTACTACATCATATGTACCTTGTTCAGTAGGTTCACACACATAATCCGGATCTCCATATATGGACAAACACTTCTCCATCCTATCTTGCTCAATGATGTAATTATGGATCGCACAGCATGCAATTACAATCTGTGTTTGTTTTTCAAATTTAAATGGAGGCATCTATCTCAAAACAAAAAAAACGATTCTTTAAAGCCGCAAAGGATCTCTCAATGATATTTCTTAATGAAGAATGCCTGTGGTTGAACAATTCCTTTGATGTTGTTGGTCCCCCACTTCGTCGAAATTCTGGTATATGATACCGTTCGCCTTTAAATGGTGTTAAAAATCCTGGACTTGAAGCATAACCAGAATCGACGGCGTAGTACTTGCCTACAACAAAGTATTCATGGATTGATCATGAAATGCAATCCTAGCAAAATCATAAACACAAATACTCATTATATATCAAAATAGCACCTGCGGGTGGTCGAGAAAACTGTAGGTGAGGTGTGTCAAGTGCGGCCGACAACACCCGACAATCGTTGGCTGATCCTTCCCAACCAGCATACACAAAAGTAAATCGCATATCAAAGAAACACACACACAACACGTTTTGAGTGGTTGTGCCTTTTCTACCTCTAAATCGTGGCTGCATATGTTCAGGTACGGTAGCATGAATATGGGTGCCATCAATAGCACCTACGCACCCCTGTCATTTAATTACATACATACATTAGACAAGATTGTGAGCAAAACTAATCAAATGGTGCAAGGAAATGTACGAAAAACGTACCTTGAAGTAACAATTAAACTTTGGCTCAATCTGAATTTCTTCTGGGACAACATCAAATGAAGGAGGTACGATAATCTCCTTCGCCAATTCCAAAACAGCTTTCAACACCGCTGCAAAGTACTTGCTAACAGTCTCTCCTGAACGTTGGAATCTCTCACATAAAGCTCTGTTGGAGTTCTTGTGACAAATCATTAATAAAAACATGGCAACCTGTTCATCTACCCTAACATATCGACTGTTTGCCAACCAACCTCTTGACTTGAGCAAAACACAAAGGTTAAGAAAAACATGTCGCTCCGTTCTAAATGCTTCGTATACTCTATTTGAATGTCCATGAAGAAGCTCGCTAACCCATTGGAGTCCTGTCAATACACTGTCCCTAATACGTTCTGTCCTGTGCATGGACCTATGCAACCAAGCAGTACACAACCATGCCAACAATATTTTCAACTCATCCTCATCAAAGTCTTGTTCACCTGATGCAATTGTTTCACTTGATGCTACTTGATCATTAGACCAGCTACTTTGACCCCCTTCCATATTACCTAGGCTATCATGCGAAAGAAGAAGACAAACTCAACATGTCAGTTGGGAAGCCAATACATTTGAACTGATATGTTGGGAATTTAATACCACTCAATAGATAATTATGGAATCTAATCACATTAAAGCAAAGTCTCAACATCATCACAAACGCATAGCCATAAAGACAAGTCAATGTCTGAAATACATAAGTGAAAAGCCGAAATGAACTCAAACATAAAACGGCATACTATAACCCAACAACTACTCAACAGCCCCCAACTACTCATCCATAGCCTCAATAAAGGCAACTCTCATTTCGGGAAGACATGTCAGGAAGCCCTCTCTCCAAGAGGCATTAATGATAGCATGTTTCATAGCTTTGATGTAAAGAACCTTGTCCAAGTCATGCATGGCATTTAGGACAGCACCCACGGTTGCTATAGAGTAAGGGTCCACATGTATTAAGGACTGTGAGGTGACGAAGGCACTTGATGTTTGAACCGTCTTAGCTTTGATCATCTCTTGAATGGCTTTGCAAGTCGCGTCAAATGAATGCGAATTGCTCTTTCTCCTCCTCTTGGCATTTGGAGTCCTATCCAATATGTGACTTTTTGGAGGTGGGCTCGCCGACACGTTAAATTGTTCCACATCAGCTTGGGTTTCGAAAAACAGTTCAGGTTCGCTTAGGTTGACATGAACATCATTGTCACCACCACCACCACTGTCACCTGTACCCTCCGACGGTGCCACGCCTTGCGCATTTCCTATTGCAAACTCCCCAGTGGCGTATGTATCCCCAAACACAACACAAAGCTGTGAATACAAAGGAAATCTGTCCTTCCTAAACTTGACCCATTCAGTATTAGCCTGCGCCATTTTCAAAATAATGTCAGGCAGTACTCAACATTTTATAAATTTGAAATTTGAGGTTACAATAATAAGATGACCTAAGTAAGTAACATCACCTTAATGTGATTTGCCCAAACAGTTTCATCGTCCACAACAACCCTCTTGCTGTCATTGTCCCATCCAAATCCCGTTGTTGAAAGCAACTTCTTAAAACTACCATATTGTCTCTTCAGTTTCTGTGCTTTGTTCTTGAACTGTGGTAGACTAAAGTGAAGTCGTGTTTGTTCATTGAATTCTTTTTCAATGTTAATCCACCCTACTATGTTGTAGGTACATGATGTGCGATTTCCCTTTTTTACCTCATCTACCATCAGACTTACAAACAATTCGGTCAACGGCTCAGTCCACTTTGCCATGTACGTGTATTTGGAGGATTCCATTTATGTAAAATAGATGAAATTTCAGGGGCAAATGCTGGTAATGGCGATTCAACAAACAAACAAGAATTAAATAGAGGAGCACATCTACAAAAGAGAACATAAATTGTACCTGAGCAGAGAATTTCACACCCTAATGTCATTAGTTTCAAGCTATTGAGAAAGGAAGTACACCACCAGCCAAACTTGATAATCACTATTCAATCAAAGAGAACATAAAAGGTGCATAGTCCATATATCAAATTATGTAAGGGGCTTGCCTACTGGTGGAAACATGCAAAATAAGGAGCTGAACTCAGGTTAAAAAAAATTATGCTAAAATTTGAACCAAGTCCCAAGCTGAACTTCACCATCAACCAGAGAGTAACGATGTTTGACAAGAACAACATAATGTACTATGTACTAGAATTGTAGAGGGGACAATCCCCAAGCCTTCAAAAGTTTTTCAAGTGAACACCTTTTTCACAAGATTATTGCAAGCAGCTACAAGATTCAAGCCTTAAACTGAATATCATTGAGAAAATATAGATATTGCACCTGAGAGCTAATGAAGAGAGGAAAATCGTGAAGATTAAAATACTGATATTCAAAGGGAAAATACAAATAAAAAGGAGAAATGGGCCAACTTCATTCTCGAGATTATTGGAATTTGAAATGGTTCAAATAAACCATAAGATGGGAGGCAATAATTAATTGATACAGGCAATTCAAGTGAACCCTAAAATCAGACACATCGAACAGTCAAAGCAATGTATGCCTCAAGATTGAGCACACACAAGTCTATCGATGCGGAAAACTGAAGCTCCAGTCACACTTAAAGCTCGTGATTTCACACACTCTTTATTTGATTTAAAAGATTTATAACCATCTTCAAGCCCTGAAAATAGAGAAACTCTACCAAAGAGCTAACAAATAGTATAGCATAGGAAAACAAAAAGATTATAGTATGAGTTGAGGATAGCCTTCGAAAGAGATAAATTGAATGGAATGCCATGGTTTCCCCTCACTATCTCAGGTCGATAAGCTATCTTTCACTTGTAGGCCGTCCTCCCAATCCATAAAATTTAACCTTCTCGGGGTAAACCCATCATCTAGTGCCTGTGCTAAAACCAAAGCCAGTGCTCGAGATGCCGCCCAGAAATGATAACCCAAATAAAAACGAGACAAAAGTGCAAACTACTTGTGGCAATTCGCCGCGAACCGTAGAGCCAGACACAAATGACGAAACAAACCGATTTAGCCACACAACCCACACATCATAGCCCTTTCGAAACCGAAATCCCGCGGCTCAACTTCAACCTCAACCTCCACCCGCAACATGCTAGTCAAGTTATCGCCATACCACTCCGCGGCGTCTCGTTCCCTCATTCCGACTTGATCGAGCGAGATTCGCGCGGGCCGCGTGCCCTAAACGGGCGGCCACGTCGCGCACCGCGGATTGCACCGAAGGAAAAGCTAACGAGAGGAGGTGAAACAGTTGGAGGAATCGAAGACTCACCAGCTACGCATGAAAAAACGGAAGCATCGGAGATATAGTGAGAGCCAAATTGATCGCCACCGTGTGAGGTGGCGGTTCCGGTGCAGTCGCAAGGAGGGATGGAGGGCACGAAATTGAAGAGGCGGAGATATAGGGAGGGCCAAATCGATCGCCGCCGCATGCAGTGGCAGTTTCGATGCAGTCGCGAGGAGGGAAGGGGAGGGCACGAAACTGAAGAGTTGAACGAGATGGAAGAGAAAGAAAGAAATTAGGGCCAGAATGAATTCCGAAAGAGAGAACGAGATGGAAGAGAAAGAAAAAGAAATTAGGGCCAGAATGAGTTCCAAGAAGAGAGAAGCTACAAAAAGTAGCTTCTCTTTTTTGGTGGAAAACTCGTTCTGGAATCAAAATTTGATTCTAGAACCAAAAAAAGAACGTGTTTTTACCAAACGCATTTTTATTCCAGAATGCAAAAATTGCTCCAGAATGCATTCCGGAAATTTTTTAACAAACTCATTTCTGTTCCGGAATACATTCTGGAGCAAAAATTCTGCTCCAAAATGGATTCCATGCGCGCCCTTACCCTTTCCTCCACCTTTTATCTGATTTCCTTCCCCTTTTTCGTTACCCCATTTTTCTCTCCTTTCTATGATTCTCAATCATGTTTCGCTTTCCCGCATCAGTTTGCTTCTTCTTTGAATATTATTATTCTCCCCTTTCTATGATTCCAAACCTATCTCGACCATCTTTTACCATACGCTTTCCGTTTTGCATGGAAAATGATATTGTCCAGTCACGGCGTCTTAGATTTCGGCTACGATTAGAATGTTCTATTCAATTATGTCCATAATTAATCAGCCTTTAGTCCTCAGCCGGTGATCTTTCAACTCGACATAGCACGAACATTGTACTAGGAATCCGGTTCTCCACGAGCATAATTCGCTTTAACCTTCCCCAGTGATGATAAAAATTAATTAGTGTTTCATATGGGAGGATAAAAAAGAACCCCAAAAGAGAATGAAAAGAACAGAAAAGAAATCGACTTGGGCCCTGTCAGATTTTTCAGACCAATGAAGTATGGTGTGAAAATGGTCTGAAAAAAAAAACATTATTTTACTGGTCCTAATCCATATTGCACCAGATTGGACCTCGATTGGATATGTATTTAAGGTCACGAAGAGAAGGAAGAATATCAATGGTTACTTTTGTAACATTCCAACATGTGACTTGAATTTTAAACGTGCGAGGGAAGCAGCCAAAATGAATCTTACACTTGACTTGTGCATTGGGAATATAGTTTTGGGTTGGGTAAGTCATGCGCTTTATGAAAAAGAAATGTTATGTCGTGACACTTTCATTCCTATGGAAATTGATTTTTTTTCTTTCTATTGCTTTCACTATTGGTATTGTTGTTAGTGTGTGGTTATGTCTCCATCCCGAATCTCACGTGTAAAGTTGGTTTACGCTCTAGTAAGATTATGTGGAATAATTGTGTTTGGACATAAAATAAAAGACGTTTTTTGGACAAACAATACGAATAGACAGGAGTGTTATCTCTTATGTATGACTATGGGAAACGAATAAGAGTCGGATGAAATTTTGAACATAGTAGCAAACATGTATGTACCTTACATTTCACCCAATGATCACTTACAAACCTCTAGTTTTGAAAATACCAATGACATGCCTGAGTTTTACCTTAGAGACCATTTTGCTCCTTCAAATAAAACATCATTTTCTTTCCAAAAATATCTATCTCCAAATCCTAATTTTCACTCCAACCCACAATGCTCATGATTAATCAAAAGCTGAACCACTTGAATACCAAGTACCATGCTAAAATGAGCTTGTAAGGATGAGCAATTTGGTCTTTTAAGAGTAGGGAGGATTTTCGTAGAGGCATGTGAATGATATATGCAAAAATAGAGAGAAAATTATCCAAAAAGTCTTAAACTAACTGTATAATTGTTAATTCAGTCATAAACCTTTCCAATTTAGTCATAAACTTTTTGAAAATATGACACTTTAGTCCTTCTGGATAATGTTGGCCAAAAATCGTTGATGTAGATGCCAACTGTCCTTTGTGACAAGGCCGGCATTGATGTGAATAACTTTTGCAAATTTTTAAAAAAATTTTAAGGGTTTAGTAATGAATTGACCACTGTATAATAAGTTCATGATTTTTTTAATAATTTTCTCAAAAAATAGAGATATATAAATTATTATGATGTCAAAAGTGAGTTCTGTTTCTAGTATATTCCATAGTATAAATATGAAGAGCTATTGGGACCACGCTAGCCGAAAGTGCAAGGTCCGTCTAGCCTCGCTCAAAGCGTACCTTCCCTAAGTGCATGAGATGTCCAAGTGCATGTCGCCTTAGAGGAGGATTGCAAAGAGAAAGGCAGAGGTCCTTTAATTATTATATATAATGCTTCAAGGTATTTTAGGTGATCAATATATCCAAGTTGAACTCAATGCCTCCACTTGCATACGCAAAGTTGCAAGTCAATGAATTACAAGTCAAGTAGGATATCGCCCAAGAGGGTAGTAAGCACAATTGATGGTCAATTCCAAAAACAAAACCCCAAGATTATATCAAATTTCCAAATGACTTACATTCCATTCAAAAGCTTAAATCAATAAGTTATAAGCCGAGTATGATATATTGACCGATCCACACCGTACTAATTTTCCAATGTGTGACTTCTCTAACACAACTCACAAGTGGTTTATGACAATCTCCCCTTTTTTCCGGGCGGAAAAAAAAAAAAAAAAAAAAAAGAAAGAAAGGGGAAAAAAAAATGACTTACTTTTCGAAAAAGTTTTCTGCGTGAAGGCTAGGAAGAAAGTCCAACTTGGTCAAAAAAGCCCCTTAATCTAGGTATCATCTACGGTCATTATGATATAGGTGAACTTGAGGTTTATCTCCAGGTCAAACGTCCCGGGCGAAATCAAACGTGTTCCATATTGCGTCAACACCAATACTTCTAAGCTGAAAACAAAAAAACGCCACCCTAAAAGACCGGCCGTTGCTACACGCAATACCCACCGTCAAAACTGCGTTGGTCACCAGATTCCTTCATTGAGATGTTCACCAAACACCGATACACATTGGGAGTAGGCCACCAATCAACCATCGACTCTGTAACATTTGTTGGAAGCATGTAGCAGAAATCCGATATCTTTGCTCGGGGAGATTGCCAAGAAGAAGCCTAAGTCCAAGTCTGTCAATATATTCTGTTGGACCAATTTTCACTTAAAAGTTTAAGTTAATGAGTTATGAGCCAAGAAGGATATATACTGTTTCACACCACACTAATTTTCCGATGAGGAATTTCTCTATTACAACTCACATGTAGTTCCTAAAAAAAAGTAACTACGACTTTCAAAAGAGGAGTTTCAATTTCGATGAGGTGTTCAATTAGATATTCGGAAGCTGAAGCAATCAAGCATGTCAGACTTTCTTAGAGCCACCATCTCCTGTTTTAAGGTCTTCTAGCTTTACTATATTCATCGGCAAATGCATTCATCATTCATAGCCACAACACATCCTTACTGAGCTACAATACAACAGAGCTATTGTACAAATGACAACACGATTAGGTTTTGATATCGAGGATGTGTGTGTATACCTAAATCTCTAAATATGTGCAAATTCAAAGTTTAATTCTACTTTATAAAGTAATAGTTGCTTACCAAAATATAATGTAATAGTCAACAACATATACACTTGATGGATTTGCAATCGGATCTCTCTATCACTTTCCTTACACATCACTGCTCACCTAAATCCATCTCGATCCAAAGCTTTGATCTCAGGTGTGCGGAACTTCCCTTTTGAAGGGAATGTGTAGATTTTATAAGTTATCTCATTAATCAGTTGATAATTTACTTGCTTAGATTTTGAAACTCCATAAACCAAGAGGTCGAATTTGAAAAGAAAAATGAAAGAGGGGGCTGGGCTTCAATTGCCCGGATCAAACCGATACAATCTGGGTCGGGCCAAAATAGCCCGGCCCGCAAAATTGTGGCGGGTACTAGACGTTGACCCGAGAATTCACCAACTGTAATTCAAAATCTGTCTTCTTTTACATCCCCTGTCCTGCTTCATCCGCAGTCCAGACGACCGAGAAGATGCTCGCTTCACCAGTCGCTCCCTCTGTTTCGTCGTTCAACTTCCATGTCCTCCCTTCTTCCGATCCACCGTACAAGCTCCTCCAAACACACCCATCTCTGTCGCTGCTCTCCAAGTGCCGGAACCTCCAACAGCTCAGGCAAATCCACTCCCAGATCATAAAATCCGGCCTCCACAACACCCAGTTCGCCCTCAGCAAGCTCGTCGAGTTTTGCGCGGTCTCGCCCTCCGGCGATCTGTCGTATGCGGTCTCGCTGTTCGAATCCATCGAGGAGCCGAATCAGTTGATTTGGAACACTATAATAAGAGGGCATTGTCTGAGCGATACCCCGGGTTTAGCCATACATATTTATGTTCGGATGTTGTTACGTGGGGCGATGCCGAATTCTTATACTTTCCCTTTCCTGTTGAAGTCTTGCGCGAAAGCTGGGTTGGCCCATGAAGGGAAACAGATTCATTCGCATGTTGTGAAGCTGGGACTTGAGTCTGATGCCTTTGTGCACACTTCGCTTATCAACATGTATGCTCAGAGCGGTGAATTGGACAGTGCACGTCTGGTGTTCGAGAAAAGCTTGCACAGAGATGCTGTGTCTTATACGGCTTTGTTGACTGGTTATGCATCTACTGGTCAGATGGATGAAGCCAAACAGCTGTTTGAGAATATTCCTGTTAGAGATGTGGTGTCTTGGAATGCTATGATCGCAGGGTACAGTGAATGTGGCCAATTCGAGGAGGCAATGGAGACATTTAGGGGAATGCAGAAGGTAAATGTGATGCCGAATGAGAGTACTATGGTTACTGTTCTCTCAGCTTGTGCTCAGTCAGGTTCAATTGAATTGGGGAAGTGGATCCATTGTTGGATAGAAGATCATAAAATGGGATCGAATTTACGGCTTGTCAATGCGCTTATTGACATGTACTCGAAGTGTGGGGATGTAGAAACAGCTCAAGGGTTGTTTAATGGTATGTCGCTGAAGGATGTGATTTCGTGGAATGTTATGATCGGTGGTTACACTCATATGAATCGTTACAAAGAGGCATTGGTTCTGTTTAGGGAAATGTTAAAATCTAATGTGGAGCCTAATGATGTCACGTTCTTAAATGTTCTCCCATCTTGTGCTTGCTTATGTGCACTCGATCTGGGAAAATGGATTCACACTTATATAAACAAGAACTTCAACATTACCTTACCAAAAAAAAAAAACAAGAACTTCAACAGTTCAACAAGCACTGCTCTATATACCAGTCTTATTGACATGTATGCGAAATGCGGAAATGTAGTGGCAGCAGAACAAGTTTTTAATGGCATGAAGAGTAAAAGCTTGTCTTCTTGGAACGCAATGATTTCTGGATTGGCCATCCATGGGGAGGTAGAGAAGGCCCTTGGCTTTTTCTCGACAATGGTTAATGAAGGGCTCAAGCCAGATGATGTCACATTTGTTGGTGTTTTATCTGCCTGTAATCATGCAGGTTCATTAGAACTTGGGCGGAGTTATTTTAGTTCAATGATCCAAGACTATAAAATCTCCCCTAAATTGCAGCATTATGGATGCGTCGTAGATCTCTTGGGTAGAAATGGATTGTTTGATGAAGTGGAGGCCCTCATAGAATCAATGAATGTGAAACCAGATGGTGCTATTTGGGGTTCTCTGCTAGAAGCTTGCCGAGCTCAGGGACAAGTCGAGTTGGGTGAAATCTTTGCTCATCATCTTTTCGAACTGGAACCCGATAATCCTGGCGCTTACGTGCTCTTATCTAACATTTATGCAAAAGCTGGTAGGTGGGACGATGTGGCAAGAACAAGAACCAAACTGAATGATAAGGGAATGAAGAAGGTTCCTGGGTCTACATCTATAGAAGTAGATAGTGTGGTTCATGAGTTCCTCGTGGGCGACAAAACACATCCTCAGAGCAAAGACATATACATGATGTTGGATGAAATAGACAGGCTTTTGGAAATGGCTGGGTTTGTGCCAGACACAACCGAGGTGCTTTACGACATGGATGAAGAGTGGAAGGAGTGCGCATTAAGTCACCACAGTGAGAAGATAGCTATTGCATTCGGGCTGATCAGTACTAAGCCCCGGACAACCATCAGGATTGCCAAGAACCTTCGAGTCTGCAGAAACTGCCATTCGGCAACAAAGCTCATTTCGAAGATTTTCAATAGGGAGATAATTGCCAGGGACCGTAACCACTTCCACCATTTTAGAGATGGTAATTGCTCTTGTAAGGATTGTTGGTAATGAGCATGTCATGAAATAGGGATAACATTTGGTAATTGTAAACTGCACTAAATTGCTGAGTACATACTCATACTCTTCATTCTTATACAAAATGTGAACTAGATCCATCTTCAGGATGAAGCAGAAGAACCCCTCTTTATTTTTTAGGCAAAAGGACATTATAAGCGCCATAAGTTGTGTACGAAGATCACTTTGGTGCCACAACTTTTTTTCGGATCACTTTGGTATCAACTTTTTTGAAAAACGATCACTTTAGTGCCAATGCTGACATGGTCGCCGGAAATCTGACGTGGCTCTTTTTTATTAATTTCCGATGCTGACATGGCTCGCCGGAAATCTGACGTGGCTCTTTTTTTGGCCGGAATTTTGGCCGGAGTCACTAAAGTGATCTCTTTTCCTCCGACTTGGCACCAAAGTGATCCGAAAAAAAGTTATGGCACCAAAGTGATTTCCGTACACAACTTATGGCACTTATAATGTCCTTTTGCCTTATTTTTTAGGTGAAACAAGATGGAGTTCTGCTTTCTAGTTCACTCAGATACAAGTTGGGTCGAAATGGAAGCCATATTAGCTTCTTGTCTAGTTTTTTGAGTTCATGCCTCAATGTTGGAGATTTGCTTGAAGGAGTTCCGCCTAGCCGTGTCCAAGACAGTCTTGTCAGCAACTATGAAATAAGCTGCTCCAGCAACTGCCATAAGAACGAAAATATTTCTGTCAGATAATAGCAATATATGGTCTATTATATGAAGATTTATGATACAAATTCATTGATAATTATCAGTCTGATCAAAATCTAATAACCTGTTGAGATAATGAGTGCTTGAGCTGCGTGGTTGAGGTTTGCTCTTGCCCAGGGCAGCATCCTTGCACTGGCTAACTGCATATTTAACCATGTACATATTGAGAAAAAACGAAGTACGACAAAAAGACACCCTCAAATTCCAACGTCGCCAGAGTCACTTGTTTTCCTGCGGTTTCTTTTTCTGTTCTGGTCGGTTGTTTCTTTTGTTGTGCGCACAAATTGTACGGGTACTCTCCTTTCCACACCAACAGGGAAAAAGATGGGGCTAGATGCATGCCGATCCGATGCATCTAAGCTTTTGAATTATGTGAAATCTTAAGACTTATCCGATCGAAAGATTATGTGTTGAGCTTGTAGAATCGGATTATTTTAGATAAAATTAAAAGAAAAAAATAAGTGCACCTAATGTCGAGCATCAGTTTATCGAGTTATGTGGATTAGGGTAGAATGTAAGGCACACAGATACCACTAATAATTGTGCTTAAGCTTTATTATTTTTCTAATTCACAGTTTAAAAATAGACAGCCAAAATCGATCTTTAAATGTCTTGAAAAACTATCCAGAATAAGGTATGAGATCTTCATACGTCGAGCCATATAAAAATGGAACCCACCTTGGATTTCTTCCGGAGATATTATCCTGAATTGCAAACCCCACTTTGGAGGAATTCTTTTTTTAGAGGATACCTCCTTAAACAAAACAATACATGATCCACGTGAAGGTACTAGGTTCTTGAAATCTTCATTTCAAGTGTTCTCATCCAGTTATATTTTTTAAAACATCCGTACAAAATTTTGCCAACATCTTTCTCAAAAAAAGGGTCGTAAAACTCGAAATTTTACTAAAGAAATAATCTGGAAAAAGAATGAAACTGGGTTGGAACTAAGCTTGGGATCACAGCTTGTAGCAGAGTGTTTCACAATATGTGTAAGCAAACTGACATCTTTACTTCATGGGGTGAAACTGGCACTGACCTGCAAGAGAGCAATGCTCTCAGATTGCAGTTTCTCGATCCAGATGAGTGGATAGGATCGTGGAATGGAGCTGAGAAAACTGCAGCACTGAAGAAGACGACGAATGATGGGTGTTGGGTTACGTACAACATTATCCGTTCCGAGTGCTGCAAATTTCACTCTGACACAGGGATCCATAAGAGAGTTTGGCCTCTTTCCTTTGTCGTTTTCATACTACTTCTACATTCACACACACATTAAACCTCTGTTTCTTCTGTGAGAGAGAGAGAGAGAGAGAGAGAGAGAGAGAGGACAGTAGGCCACTGGTTTTGGACAGTAGCCTAATACCATGGGCAATGGGCATCGCATAGCCCTATGTGCACTGCATATTTAGAGTGATCCTCAAAATTCAATCTGTTGTGGACTGATTAATCACAGTCATTGATTGCAACGTGAGTTTTTATATAAATTGAAATTTTGTTGATATGCTTTTCTTTTTCTTCCATTGGAAACATACTGTTTTCTTTTTTTTTTTTTTGGTCAAAAACAAACATACTGTTTTCATCACTTCATTATTATATCATGCACAATTATTGCCATAGAACATCGTTATTCTCTCTTACCTAATATGTCAATAAACTTCAAAACTGCAAATTTTATTCATTAAAGAGAAATGAACAAATACTTGGAGATGCTTGCAAAGGAATCAAGACCATATCCTCATTCAAAGAACTTATGAACTCCAGGGCACTTATCTCTGAAATTGGACCGAAAAGAATTAGAGAAGCCATTGTTGAAATAAACTGGATTGAAGTAAGAGGAGCTATACAATTCAAGGTCAATGAGGTTTGGGACCTCGTACCACATCCTTGAGATCATTTTGTCATCAAAACTAAACGGGCATTCATAAACAAATTGGACAATAAAGGTAATATTGTTTGCAAAATGACCAGGTTTGCTAAAGGATATTCTTCTCAAAATGAAGGTATTAATTATGACGAAATAGATGTGAAAATTACTTTTCAAAATAGTTATCAAAGAAAAGGTTTTTGCAGAGCAGTTACCAGGATTTGAAGACCATGCAATTCCACTCCCAAATCATAAAATCCGACCTTCGCAACACCCAGTTTAGCCTCACCAAGCTCATCGAGTTTTGCACTGTCTCTGTGAGATCTTGATGGAATCACTGCCAATTGCTCTAAAATGTTAAGTTGTTAGATGAAGACGTGGTTTAATATATAAATTCTAATACTCCCCCTCACGCTTAGTTTGGTCTTATTTTTTTTTCCTACTATTAAGTGTGGGCATATTTAATTTGTGAGGCAAATAGGTCCTAAAAAATTTGAACTTAGGACTTCTAGCTCTGATACTATGTGAGATTTTGGTCGAACCACTGCCAACTGTTCTAAAAGTTTAAATTGTTAGATAAATGCGTTGTTTAATATGTAAATTCTAACAATCTCACCATCCGGCGATCTGTCCTTTGCGGTCTCGCTGTTTGAATCCATTGAGGAGCTGAATCAATTGATTTGGAACACTATAATCAGAGGGCATTGTTTGAGCCATATCGGGTTTAGCCATAGATATTTATGTTCGAATGTTGTTAATTGGGGCAATGCCGAATTCTTATACTTTTCCTTTCCTGTTGAAGTTTTGCGCGAAAGCTGGGTTGACCCATGAAGGGAAACAGAATCATTCGCATGTTTTGAAGCTAGGACTTGAGTCTGATGCCTTTGTGCACACTTCGCTTATTAATATGTATGCTGCGGCAAATTGGACAGTGCTCATCTGGTGTTCAAGAAAAGCTCATACAGAGATGCTGTGTCTTATACGGCGTTGTTGACTGGTTATACATCTAGTCGTCAGATGCATGAAGCCAAATAGCTGTTTCTCTTTTTCTTTAGTTGTTGACTCGTTATACATCCAGCATTTTTTTCCTTTTTTCTTTTCTTTCTCATATTTTTCCTTGTTTCTCAATCGGCCACGAGCAAGGGATGAGCTCGCCGGCCTTATGCGAGCTCGAGCTCATCGGTTTAGCGAGACTCGAGTTTGCTAGCCTTGGTCGAGCTCGTCCCTCGCCTGTCAATGGTCGTCAGCCATTGTTGTGGCTGACTGCTTGCCGAGGGAGAACGAAAAAAAAAAGAAATAAAAAATAATTAAAATTCGAATTTAAAAAAAAACTAAAAACAAGAATTTCTTTTTAAATATTTTATAAAAACGAACATTTCATTAATCATAGACCCGAGCCTGAGCGCCAAGGACCCACACACGGCTTTTGTGGACTAGAGCTCAAGCATCGAGGGCCTGGGCACGGCCTTTATGGGCTTGGGCTCAGGTGCGGGGGAATTGGGCACAGGCATTAGGGGTTCGGTCAGCCTCGATGGACTCGGGCCCAGCCACGAAACACTTAGTCTTGAATGTAGGGAACCAACGTTTGGGTTTTTGTGCCCAAGGGTAAAGTTCCGGGTCTAAACGCTTATACTGAGTCATATTTTGGAAAATGTTTTTCAAAATTTTAAAAAGGAAATCATTTTCCTGAATTTAAGCATAGGTTTTTCATTTACCAGGAAAACATTTTCTCTTGACTTATTTTCCTAAGCAAATCAAACTCTGGAAAATCAGAAAATGTTTTCCCGGGAAATGTTTTCCGTGAAACAAACGGGGTCTTATATAAACAAGAACTTCAACAGTTCAGGAAGCACCGCTCTATTTACCAGTCTTATTGACATGAATGCGAAATGCGGAAATGTAGAGGCGGCAGAACAAGTTTTTAATGGCATGAAGAGTAAAAGCTTGTCCTCTTGGAACGGAATGATTTCTGGATTGGCTGTCCAAGGGGAAGTAGAGAAGGCCCTTGGCCTTTTCTCGAGAATGGTTAATGATGGACTCGAGCCAGATTATATCACATTTGTCGGTGTTTTATCTGCCTGTAATCATGCAGATTCATTAGAACTTGGACGCAGTTATTTTACTTCAATGATCCAACACTACAAAATCTACCCTAAATTGCAGCATTATGGATGTGTTGTGGATCTCTTCGGTAAATTGACTTTTGATGAAGTGGAGGCCCTCACAGAGACGATGAACGTGAAACCAGATGGTGCAATTCGGGGTTCTCTGCTTAGAGCTTGCCGAGCTCAGGGACAAGTCGAGTTAAGCGAATTTTTCTCTCAGCATCTTTTCGAACTGGAACCTGAAAATCCTGGCGCTTATGTGTTCTTATCAAACATTTATGCAAAAGCCGGTAGATGGGACGATGTGGCGAGAATAAGAACCAGACTGAATGATAAGGGAATGAAATAGGTTCCAGGGTCTACATCTGTAGAAGTAGATAGTGTGGTTCATGAGTTCCTCGGGGGCAACAAAACACATCCTAAGAGCAAAGACATATACATGGTGTTGGATGAAATAGACAGGCTTTTGGATTTGGCTGGGTTTGTGCCAGACTCAACCGCGGTGCTTTACGACATGGATGAAGAGTGGAAGGAGTGCGCATTAAGTTACCACAGCGAGAAGTTTGCAATTGCGTTCGGACTGCTCAGTAAGCCCGGGACAACCATCAGGATCGCCAAGAACCTTCGAGTCTGCAGAAACTGCCAATCGGCAACAAAGCTCATTTCGAAGATTTTCAATAGGGACTTAATCGTGAGGACCGTAACCGCTTCCATTGTTTTAAAGATGGCAATTGCTCATGTAAGGATTGCTGGTAATAAACACGTCATCAAAAGGGATGACATTTGGTATACTGTAAATTGCTCTGTATTACTGAGTACATACTCATACTCTTCATTCTTATATAAAATTTGAAGTAGATTTATCTTCAGTGTGAAGCAGAAGAACGCATCCTTAATTTTTATGTGACACAAGATGGTGCTCTGCTTTCTAGTTCACTCAGATACAAGTTGGGTCGAAACGGAAGCCATATTAGCTTCTTGTCTAGTTTTTTGAGTTCATGCCTCAATGTTGGAGACTTGCTTGAAGGAGTTCCGCCTAGCCGTGGCCAAGACAGTCTTGTCAGCAACTATGAAATAAGCTGCTCCAGCAACTGCCGTAAGAATGAAAATATTCCCGTCAGATAATAGCAATTTATGGTCTATTACATGAAGATTTATGATACAAAGTCATTGATCATTATCAGTCTGATCAAAGTCTGATGACCTGTTGAGATTAAGAGTGCTTGAGCTGAGTGGTTGAGGTTTGCTCTTGCCCAGGGCAGCATCCTTGCACTAGCCAGCTGCACGGTTAAGCATGAACATATTGAGAAAAAAGAAGTGCAATAAAAATACAGCCCTTGAATTGAACAAAAGTTTCAGCATAAGAAATTGAGCAAAATTTATCCAATATCTGAAGAAGAAAGAATCCCCACAAAATGGACGAAGCAAAGACTCACGGTTGGGATGGCCGTTGCTATCCCCACTAGAACAGCCGCCTTGGCTCCAGCTTTTACACCCTCTGTTTGATGCACACCAGAAATTTAAACTTAAGCCATTTCACAGAAAACACGAAAGAAAACAGTATATTTGTGAAAACAAGGCAAACTTAATTCACGGAACACCAATGTACGGAATGTTGCTTACCGCGAGAGCACCGTTTCGCCATGGCCAGCCTCTGGTCGAGTGAAGCCAAGCTGGTTTTCTCGAGGGGAGATCCGGTGACATTATTGTTGGCCATTGCTGTATTGGGATGAGATCCTAGTGAAAAACAGTAAGAGAGGGAGTCAATTTGCAAAGCGGACTCGTTGAAAGGCTTTAGGAAGCTTTGCCTGATGAGGGATTGAGATTATTGCAGTGATATATATAGGGGTCAAATAGCAGGAGGACGAGAGAGAGAGAGAGAGAGAGAGAGAGAGAGAGAGAGAGAGAGAGAGAGAGAGAGATACCTCAGGTGGTGTTGATGGTATTCAAATTCCAACGTCGCCATAGGCACTTGTTTTCCTGCGGTTTCTTTTTCTGCTCTGGTCTGTTGTTTTTGGTTGTGCGCACATATTGTACGGGTACTCTCCTTTCCTCACCAACAGGGAAAAAGATGGGCTAGATCCATGCGGATCCAATGCATCTAAATCTTTGAATTATGTGGATTTTGAGGTCTATCCGATCGAAAGATTATGCGTTGAGCTAGTAGAATCGGATTATTTTAGATAAAATTAAAAGAAAAGGTAAGTGCACCTAACGTTGAGCATCAAATTATTGAATCATGTGGATTAGGGTAGAATGTAAGGCACACAGATACCACTAATAATTGTTCTTAATCTTCATTATTTTTATTCAGTGTTTGAAAAAAGAACCAAAATTGATCTTTAAATGTCTTGAAAAATTATCCAGGAAAAGATAGGAGATCTTCATACGTCGAGCCATATGAAAATGGAACCCACCTTGGATTTCTTCCTGAAATACTATCCTGAATGGCAAACCCCACGTGAAGGTACTAGGTTTTGGTGGATTTTTTTGTTTTTTTAGAGGATACCTCCTTAAACAAAACAATACATGACCCTCGTGAAGGTGCTAGGTTTTTGAACTCTTTGTCTTAAGTGTTTTCATCAGGTGATTATTTATTCAAACATCCGTACAAAATTTCTCATACAACATCAGAGCATTGAACCGACATTTCTCGAAAAAAAAAGTCGGTAAAACTCGAAATTTTACGAAAGAAATAATCTGGAAAAGAATGAAACTGGGTTGGAACTAAGCTTGGGATCACAGCTAGTGGCATAGTGTTTCCCAGGTATTGAGCTTCATTATGTGTAAGCAAACTGACATCATTATTTCATGGGGGTGAAACTGGCGCTGACCTGCAAGAGAGCATTGCTCAACTGTGATGGTAGATTGCAGTTTCTTGATCCAGCTGAGTGGATAGGATCGTGGAATGGAGCTGAAAAAACTGCAGCACTGAAGAAGACGGACGAATGACGGGTGTTGGGTTGCGTACAATATTATCCGTTCGAGTGCCGCAAGTTTCACTCTGACACAGTGATCCATAAGAGAGTTCGGCCTTTTTCCTATGTTGTTTTCATTCGACTTCTATGTTCACACACACATTAAACCTCTGTTTCTTCTGTGGAGAGAGAGAGAGAGAGATGGGGGAGGGAGGGGCCAGTAGGCCACTGGTTTTGGACACTACTGTCCTAAAACCAGGGGCAATGGGCATCGCATAGCCCTATGTGCACTGCATATTTAGAGCGGTCCTCAAAATTCAATCTGTCGTGGACAGATTGATCACAATCATTGATTGCTACATGAAATTTTACACAATAAAATTTTGTTGATGTTCTTTTTCTTATTCAGTTGAAAACATACTGTTTTCATTACTTCAAGTGAGTCAATGAGTACGCAACCAATTAGTCTTAGAACAATAAAGGTCCCACAAAAATCGTGTGGGGATCAAAAATCCAATTACGAGGAACAGTTTTTCACCCGTTGGCTTTTACGACTCAATCTACTACCTATCCGGTCTCTCTGAAACAGTGTATGATTTTGGCTATTCTTGAAATCAGCCAACTGAAGTTTGCATTCGGCAATAAGGTTTTGCGCAATGCGAGCCAGCAGATCACGACTAGTCGGTGCACTCATCAAACACCAATTGCCATACTCTAAGCACAGATTGACATCAGTTCGCAATCAGATTCCACCACCCATCTCGGAGATTCAGACGTTGGTGCCCAAAAACAAAGTGATTTCTTGATTTCCACACATGTTCCGGAGAATTTCCAGCTAGAAGATCCAGCGAAGGCGAGTTCGACTTCGAATTTCCTCGTCGAGAAAACCACTATTGCCATTCGATTAAGTACCTGATTCGAAATTTGTCAAGTTTAATTCAAGATGTAGCCATACTTCTTCTGTCCAGCGGCAAAGAAGAAAGATATGCCCGATGCATTCTGGGCGCTGTCTCAACAATCAACATAGAGGACAAACTGGCTCAGGTACTATTCTCCTCTTAAAACAAATTCTCAGACGTTGATATTCTATTGAAATAGCATATGTTCCCTTGTATGTTGATATGGCCCAAGTCCAGCATAGGCCCAAAAGGAGGCCCAAGGAATCGCAACCCTGCAATGACGCCCACCTGGAGCCCACATTGGAATCTCCTCCCCCAAAGCCCGACCCAAGGATTTGTCCGAACCGAGAGATTAATTGACCCGACTCAAGCCCAAGCGACTCAGCCCCGCTATGGCGACCCGGCACTGAGGGCGTCAGAACCGATATGGTAAACTGAACCGAATCGAACTAATCCGAAATTTTATGCATTTTCGATTTGGTTCGAATAATGAAAAAATAACCATTTTTTTCGGTTTGGATAGTTTGGGTTCGATTCAATAATCGAACCGAACTGAAACTATTCATGTGGCTTTTATTTTACTGAAAGTTCAAAGAAAATGACTTATATACAGCAGGCCCGACAAGAAAAGGAATATCGAAAATCCGAACAAAACCGAGGTCGCAATTTGGTTTGGTTTGGTTCAGCCTCTCACCTCGACAGTTTGGACCCGAACGGAACCGAGCCTTTGACACTCCTACCCGTCTCAACTTAATTAATTTAGCTGGTATGAACACACATAAAAGCTGGCCCATACAAGCTAATCAAGTTGTTTTCTTCGATGCTTGTAATGACGGTCAACTAACGGCACTACCCCAAAGTCAAGTCAATTATCATGACTTTTGTCTTGTGAAACCAAATCAACATCAATCCATGTTTCAAATGTAAACTCACGCATTAAATTGCATTTCCACCTGAACATGGTTTTACAGGCAATTTTCTTCTCTTTTTGGCAGAAACAGTTTGAACAACAGATTACCTTGAACCAAAAAAGAAAAAAGAAAAAGAGAGAGGTATTGTCCAATCGAATGCTACCTCTCTTCGATAGTGGAACGGGTTAGATCGATAATCACGCGTTCTTGCCGCTCTTGAAAGCTATAATAACCTATGTTCAAACGAAATGGCGGCGGTCTCAGCAAAGGCAGATCGGTGCTCTCGTTACCGAGCATCCGAACAACATCGGACGTGCTTGGTCCGTCTTCAGGATGCTCTAGGATGCAACGACAATGCAATATGGAGGCACCGGTTTGGCCGATGCGGGGTCCATTAGCTCGACGCCTCGACCGGATTTCCACAATTCCCAAGCCTAGAGGAAACTTTTTTCTTAATCAAGTTCTAACTAGATAGTGATGGGATAATCAGTAATCAACAAAAGTAATATTCATTGTTTATGAAAAACAAAACTTTTCTGTTTATGAAAAACAAAACTTTCCCGCTTCCAAGATAATATTCATTGCGTTGATTTTTGTTTTTGAAATAACCGATATTATGCATGGTCATCCAAACGGTATATTCACGTTGAAAAATGGTATTTCGGGTTAAAGAAACAAAAAGAAGAAGAAGAAAGTTTGTATTTAAAACGTACCTAAATTTTGTAGCCAATTTAATACTGTTTGAAATTCTAAGACGAGATCATCAAGAAGTCATGGCAGAAAGGGGCATTGTTATTAAACTAATGGTTAATATCATAGAAAACCCCAAACTAGTACACTCGTGATAAATTTATCCAAAATTAATTTTTTGACCACCAAATATTTTAAATTGTTACACATGCGACAAATTTACCCCATACTGATTTTTTGATCACCAAATATCCCAAAACTGATACACATGTGACAAATTTATCTCATACTGATTTTTTTATCACCAAATATCCAAAACTGGTACACTTGTGACAAATTTACCTCATTAGATTGGATTGATACCATGAAAAATTACAAACTAATAAACCTATAACAAACAGAGAGATAAAACCCTAAACTAGTACACTTATCAACAGCCACGTATCATTAAACTCAGCAATTTGACGGTAAAATTTGACGGAAACTGACGGAGGGTAAATTTGTCGCAGGTGTACCAGTTTGGGATTTAGTTTTGGGTAAAAGTTTGTCACATGTGTACCGATTTGAAATTTTTCGTGGTATTAACCTTTAAACTAATATTAATTTCTTCATATGAATCCGGACTGAATCTAGTAAAGCTTTTCGAACTTGTTTTGAACATAATGAACGTGGGCGCACAGGATTCCGAGATTCAACTTCATATGTCGATTCGTATATGCAGACAGCATCGGTCACATAACAGTTGGAAGACAATAAGAGAGAGATATCTGTCAGTTCAGTTGACCTATGATCCATCCATGTACGGAAAAATAAGATGGCGGTCGCCTCCATCTACAGGGGAAACTGCTTACCTTTGAGTTTGGGCTTGATTGTGATCCTTTTTGTGTTGACCATCAATTTGTCTAATCGAAAATGCTAATCTGTAGAACCATTCTTTTCCCTACTGATAAATTATACATTCCAGTTTTCCAAACTCACGCATCACCCAACTTTTCAGAGAACGTCTGACCAAAAAACTTTCCAGAAAATGAGATTCTTCTCTTCGATGGCCGCAACAACTTTGCGTTCCCTCTCAAAGAAGTTAAGCAAGTCCTATGTTTTTCTCATGATCTTCTTTAGCTGTTTGTTGCGGCTATCCGAGGCAACCAACATTCTCGTGCCTGGTCAGGACTTGACGGACAACAAGACGTTGGTCTCATCCAATGAAGTGTTTGAGCTAGGATTCTTCCGGACTGGTCGGTCTTCCTCAAGCAACTACTACTTGGGCATTTGGTTCAAGGATGATCCTCACAAGAAACCGGTCTGGGTTGCGAATCGAGGATACCCGCTTATTGATTCTTCTGGTGTTCTCTCCATCAGGAATGACGGGAACTTGGTGATTTCTGATAAAAGGCTGATTCAGCATATAGTCAATGAAGTATCTACTAGTAATAGCACAAGCGCCATATTGCTTGATTCTGGCAATTTTATTCTGATGGAAGGCGATAGCACAGTTTGGGAAGGCTTTTACTATCCATCTGACACATTCCTACCCGGGATGAAACTTGGGTTTTTGGATACAGGCACTGGTAAAATGAGGAACCAGTTCCTTGTTTCGTGGCAGAGTCCATCTGTTCTCTCCATCGGTTCCTTCGTTCTTGCTCTACTAGAAAAGGATAAGACCCAACTTGGAGTGTGGCACCGCGACGAGGTTTTTCGACTGATCGGGTACTATGATGGTCAGAGATTCAGGTTCTTGTTCAACAGCTCACTCAATGACTACAATTTCACTTTTGTGTCTAGCATTACTGAGACTTACTTAACTTTTGCTACTAAGGGAAATGATACTTTTTCCTGGTTCGTTATATCCCCAACAGGGGAAATTCAGGCTTTCTCAAAGATTGGGAAGGAAATATCGGTAGTGTATAGTACGATATGCACAAATACTTCGTCTAACAATGCGGCCAACTGTTATATCGAGAAGCTGCCCTTATGTGCAGATGGTAATAACTTCTCAAGGATAGAAGGGCCGATGCCAAATCCTAGTGCTTTCAATGAATCCGATGGTCTGGGCATTAGTGACTGCGAAATAATGTGCCGGAGTAATTGCTCCTGCACTGCTTTCAATTCGTATCATGATGACGGCACTGGATGTCAGTTTTACTATGAAAATATAGAGTTCACTGCAGGTGAAACCGGCCAACGGAACACCACCATGTTTGTTCGTGGGAATTTCACTGAAACAGCTTACCGACTTCCAAGGAATTCCGGTAGGTTCGGCAACTTGTTGCATAATATTAATCTGCATGGATCTTCAGATTTTATCCTAAACATCAAGTAACCATGTGAACTTCTAAAACAAGAAATACAAGATCATTATTTGCAATTTCATTGGATAGCTCGGCCTAAATAAGTAAATGACTCATAAAATGGTGATGCTTACATCCCGTACTTTTGGCCTCCATTAGTCACATATATCTATCGAAATCCACGACTAGATTGATCTGCCAATTATAATGAAATGAAACCTTAGAAAAAAGGTTTGATTCGATTATGGTATGTCATATGGGTTTTGCCTTGAATGTGTGATGATTCAGTTTCATCTTCAGGTCCTTGGAAAAAGAGGCTTCTCTGGCTGATAACAATTATTTCCCTAGTTGTACTCGCCATTTCAGCTTCTGTTGTTATCTTAAGATGGAAAAGTCACACTTGCATAGGTACTGAATCTACTCATAAGCAAAAATATTGGTTCTTTTCTTTATTTGACTCATTTCTCATTGAATTGCTTGATTCTTGAAGCAGCATGGAATGAGAGAGGAACAAACACGAAAAGGAGCTTGGAGTTGTTCCTGATCCTACTGGGGTCTGATGTCTGGGTGGAAAATCGAGACGGCCGCACTAGTAAACTCAAATCTCTCAGAAAGAGAGATCATGAGCTACCGATTCTCAGCTTTTCTTGTGTGTCAGTGGCCACGAATAATTTTTCTCCAGCAAATGAACTAGGCAAGGGTGGTTTTGGGCCTGTTTATAAGGTTATTTGTAAATCAGTAATTCAATATGAAAACTTTTTCTTCTCATTGTTTTGATCCTTTTTAATCTCAAGTAGAAACATGAAATTTCCCAATCCATGTGCAGCTCCTGAGATGCAATATCTTAGAGTAAATGGCCCTAGTTTTTATTGCAGGGTTTGTTATTGGGGCATGAAATTGCTGTGAAGCGACTTTCTAGGAAGTCCGGGCAAGGGATAGAGGAGTTCAAGAATGAGGTTCAGTTAGTCTCGAAGCTCCAGCACAGGAATCTTGTCAGGTTGCTGGATTGTTGCATCGAGAGAGAAGAAAAAATCTTAATCTATGAGTACATGGCTAACAAAAGCTTGGATTCCTTTCTTTTCAGTACGTGTTATAACTTTTCTGATTAATTGATGCTATCAATCATGTGTCCTTTGTGATTTAGACTGAATAATACTGGTACAGATCCTCACAAGAAGCCGCTTCTGGAATGGAAGAGACGTGTGTTAATCATCGAAGGAATAGCTCAAGGACTTCTTTATCTGCACCAGTATTCTAGATTAAGGATCATCCATCGCGATCTGAAGACTAGCAACATTTTGTTGGATAAAGACATGCACCCTAAAATATCTGACTTTGGGATGGCGAGAATTTTCGGAGAGAATCAAGTGCGGGAGAAGACCACTAGGGTTGTCGGGAAATAGCAAGTCTCTTAAGACACAAATAAACAGGTGTTCCTCATGTAATGTTCTGAATGGCTAATTAAATGTTTTGATGCAGCGGTTATATGTCTCCAGAGTCTGCTGTGCATGGCCTTTTCCCTACGAAGTCTGATGTATTCAGCTTTGGAGTGATTATGCTGGAGATCATTAGTGGTAGAAAGAACACAACCTTCACTCATTTGGATCGCTCTCTAAACCTGCTAGGATATGTAAGTTGCAGTGTTTAGCCTGGCATTATGAAGTACATACACAAAATAGCCTAAATCTCTTTTTTACACAATCCATGAGCTGACTACGAAATGTTGTATGTATTTAGGCTTGGGAATTGTGGAAATCTGGGCACGGAGTTGAGGTAATGGACCTTGTATCAGCTGATCCGTCTTCCATAAGAGAATTTTCTCTGTTTCTACACATTTCGCTGTTGTGCGTACAAGAGTGTCCAGAAGATAGACCAAACATGTCAGATGTTGTTTCCATGCTAAGTAACGAGAGTTCCAATCTGCCTTCACCGAAACAGGCAGCATTTTCTTCACATGTAGGGTATCATGGTTCACAAGAGCACCATGGTTGCTTGTCAATCGAGATAACCTATTCCACGGTGGAAGCAAGGTAGCAGTCGAATTCAAAGATAAATTCTTGTTGTACAGAAAATTCATTGTCATGTAATTGTTTATAGAGCACCATCATTCAGCTAATTGTTCCAATATTTTTTCTGTTCCAATTTTCATCAGTGTGGTGAATCAGTAGATAGAACAAACTCCCGATTCATTTTATGCTGTGAATCGAAACGTGGGTTCTTTGAAGCATTGTTCATCTGACAGAGACCTCTCTTATGAAGACAACATGGATGTTGAAACTGACTTGGTTTCTAAGGCACAAAAGTCATGCTAATGCGAGCACACCTTTCTTCTTCAGCGTCACCTTCATGGTTTGCTGAACTTGGTGGCAAGACTTTGGCAACCATCTTAAATCTCAAACAACTGAACCAGGCAATGTGAAAAGCATTGTCATGACTCTTGACTCAAACTTACTGGATTTGACACACGAGGAAATAGTGAATATCATGAGAACAGTGCTCTCTCCTTCCGCCAGAACGAAATGAAGACTAGACAATCATGTTGTGTGCTCTCTTTAGAAAGCAATATTAGACAAGCACTCCTCTACAAGCTTATTGGGGGTTCGGAGGAGGCTGTCTGCAGGATACCTGGCCGATGCAAAATTTAAAGTTTGCTGAGAAGTGCAAGTTAATTTTTCGTAACTCAAAGTATGCATAATTCCCCGAAAAAGAATGTATGTATATTCACCGTAAAAGAAACTTGGTTTTTTTGCTGACCAATTTTGCTTACTTTCCGGCTGAAACCAAGCGTGCGACACTCTTCTTGACCACGCTTCGGTCCACAAAAGTGAAGATGAGATTATACCAATTGGAATTGTGATGAATTTTTGTTTCTTTGAAGACGATGGCTTTGATTGAGCTGATCTTAAATTCTTTCTTGCCATTCATGTTGACCATTGTTTTTCCACTTGGGCAATGGGAATGCGATTATAATTTGACTCTTCCGCTTCGTTCTCTCTCTCTCTCTCTCTCTCTCTCTCTCTCTCTCTCTCTCTCTCTTACACAGTTCCAAGGACTAATGATTACTGATACATTCCAATTTACAAAACTCAACCATCACCCAACTTTTCAGCAGAGTTCTCTTCAATGGCTACCACATCTTCGTCTTCCCTTTCAAAGAAATTGAGCAAGTCCTGTACTCTTCTCATCTTCATTAGCTGCTCGTTGTGGCTGTCTGAGGCAACAAAGAGTCTTGTGCCTGGTCAGGACTTGACAGACAACAAGACTTTGGTGTCATCTAATGAGGTGTTTGAACTAGGATTCTTTAGGACTGGTGGGTCTTCCTCAAGAAACTACTACTTGGCCATCTGGTTCAAGGATGATCCTTACAAGAAACCCGTCTGGGTCGCGAATCGAGATTACCCGCTTCTTGATTCTTCCTGTGTTCTCTATATCAGGTTTGATGGGAACTTGGTGATTTCTGATAGGAGGAACATACAATTCTTGGTCAATGCTGAGATGTTGGCTGCTAGTAATAACACAAATGCCACATTACTTGATTCTGGCAATTTTGTCCTTGTGGAAGGACTAAGCACTGTCTGGGAAAGCTTTTATTATCCATCAGACACATTCCTGCCCGGCATGAAACTAGGGTTTCTCGATATAGGCACTGATAAGTCGAGGGACCAATTTCTTGTTTCGTGGCAGAGTCCATCTGTTCCAGCCACCGGTTCTTTCTCTCTTGCTCTGTTCAGACACAACAAGACCCAACTCAAAGTGTGGCACCGCGCGGACGTCTCGAGACTAATCGGGTATTACGATGGTCGGAGATTCAGGTTCCTCTTTAACAGCTCGCTCAATAATTACAATTTCACTTTCGCGTCTAGCAGTACTGATCTTTACTTAACTTTTGCTACTAAGGGAAATAATAGTTGGTCCTGGTTTGTAATGGCCCCGTCAGGAGAAATTCAGGTTTTCACGATGATTGGGAAGGAAATTTCGTTATCGTATAGTCCGATTTGTGAAAATACTTCCTCTAACAGTGCGGCCGACTGCTATATTGAGAAGCCACCATTTTGCGCAGTCGGGAATAACTTTTCAAGGATAGAAGGGTCCTTGCCAAATCCTAGCACTTTCGATGAGTCTGATACTCTGGGCATTAGTGACTGCGAAATAATATGCAGGAGTAATTGCTCTTGTACTGCTTTTGCTTCTTATCATGATGACGGTAGTGGATGTCAATTTTACCATGGAGATGTACAGTTCACTGTGGATGAAACTGGCCAAGGGAATACCACCGTGTTTGTTCGCGGGAATATCACCAAACCCGCTCATCGGTTTCCAAGGAATAGCGGTAGGATTCATAACTTATTCCATGATGTTAACCTGGACGTTTCTTCTGATTTATCCCGTACTTCAAGTTCCCATATTAACCTCTTAAAAAAGAATTATAAGCTCATTACTTGCATTTTTGTTGATAGGCTGACCTAAATTAGTAAATGACTTATGGAATATTGATGCTGACATCCCCATATTTTTTGCCTCCATTAGTTACACACATCTATCAAACATTAAAATCTATGACTAGCTTGATCCACCAATTTAATAGAATCAGACCTTTGAAAAGAAATGACTTCAACATACTATGATGTATATGGGCATCACTTTGAACATGTGATGATTCAGTTTCATTTTCAGGTCATTGGAAAAAGAGGCTGCTATGGCTGATAATAACCATTCCCGTAGTTGTATTTATTGTTTCAGCATTTGGCGTTATCTCAAGAAGGAAAAGTCACACCTGCATAGGTACTGAATCTACTCATAAACAAAAACAAATTGGCTCTTTTTTTATCTTTTGGACTCATTTCTCACTGTATTGCTTGATTCCTGAGAGCAGCATGGCATGTGAAAGAAACAAATGCAAAAAGAAGCCTGGAGTTGTTCCTGAACCAAATGGGTACTGATGTCTCAGAGAAAACTCGAGACAGCCTCTCTAGTAAACTCAAATCTGTCAGAAAGAGAGATCATGAGCTGCCAATTCTCAGCTTTTCTTGTGTGTCAGAGGCCACGGATAATTTTTCTCCTGCGAATGAACTAGGCGAGGGTGGTTTTGGGCCTGTTTATAAGGTTATTCATCAATCATGGATCAATGCCAGTGCTTTTTCTTCTCATTGTTTTTGTCCTTCTTCTCGAATAAAAACCTTGAATTTAAGATGATGCGGTTGCAGTATCCAACGTGCAATATATTATACTAACGTGCAATATATTATACTAAATGGCACAAGTGATTCATGCAGGGTATGCTGTTGGGGCATGAAATTGCAGTGAAGCGACTTTCTAGGAAGTCCAGACAAGGGCTAGAGGAGTTCAAAAATGAGGTTCAGTTAGTTTCCAAGCTCCAGCACCGGAACCTTGTCAGGGTGCTCGGTTGTTGCATTGAAAGAGAAGAAAGCATCTTGATCTATGAGTACATGGCTAACAGAAGCTTGGATTCCTTTCTTTTCAGTACGTGATGATCTAACTTCTTTTGATTAGTTGATGCTTTATATCAAGTGCCCTTTGTGATTTAACCGAACAATAATTATACAGATCCTAACAAGAAGCCACTGCTGGAGTGGAAGACACGTGTGTTTATAATCCAAGGAATAGCTCAAGGACTTCTTTATCTGCACCAGCATTCCAGATTAAAGATCATCCACCGCGATCTGAAAAGCAGTAACATTTTGTTGGATAAAGACATGAACCCGAAAATATCAGACTTTGGGTTGGCGAGAATTTTCGGGGAGAATGAAGTGTGGGCAAAGACCACTAGGGTAGTCGGGACATAGTAAGTCTCTTAAGATACGAATAACATGGATTCCTCATGTATTTCCCCCGAATGGCTAATTAATTGTTCTAATGCAGTGGTTACATGTCTCCAGAGTATGCTGTTCACGGCCATTTCTCTACTAAATCTGATGTATTCAGCTTTGGAGTGATCATGCTGGAGATCATTAGCGGCAGAAAGAATACAACATTCACTCATTTGGATCGTTCTCTAAACCTGCTAGGATATGTAAGGTTTTTGCCCAGAATTACAAATTACATGTACAAATAGCCTAGTATCTTTCTTACATTATCTGGGAGCTGACCAAGAAAAGTCGATTGTTTAGGCTTGGGAATTGTGGTCCTCTGGTCGAGGCATTGAGTTGATGGACCCTGTATCAGTTGATCCGTCTTCTGCAAGAGAATTCTCTCTGTCCCTACACATTGCGCTATTGTGCATACAAGAGCTACCAGAAGACAGACCAAACATGTCATATGTTGTTTCAATGCTAACTAATGAGAGTGCCAATCTGCCTTCACCAAAACAGGCAGCGTTTTCTTCACGCGAAAGGAATTGCAGTGGGCAAGAGCGGCAAGGTTGCTCATTGAATGATATAACATATTCCGTTATGGAAGCGAGGTAGCGAGGCAATTCTTTTTGTACGGAGGATTTATCCATAATCAAACTGTTTCTAGATCACAAAATTTCATTTCATTATTCACAGAGAAGGGAGGAAGAAGGGGAGCACAGCTCTTTTTTTCTTTTTTTGATTAGATAGCACCTTCTTTAAACTAATTGTTCCATTTCAATTTTTGTCACTGTGGTTAATCATGCAAGGAACAAACTCCTGATTTAGTTCATGCTGTGAATTCTGTGGGTTTTCAAAGCATTGTTGTTGGACAAAGACCTTCGCGGTGTATTATATAGCCAATCAGGGTTGAAAATGACTTGGTTTCTAAGTCACAACAGTCATGGTAATGCAATCGCCCCTTTCATTTTCAGGGTCACCTTCACGGTTTGCTGAACTTGGTGGCAGGACTTTCGTGACCTTTACAATTCTCCAAGAAGGAAACTTGATTAGCATGCCTCTGCTTAAGTCACTGTAACGACCTGGGTCCCACTCGCAAGATATTGTCCGCTTTGGACACTAAATCCTCACGGTTTTGTTCCTCCGAAGGCAGCCCATACTATCCCCAGAAAAGGCCTCTTGCAAGTTAAAAGGCCTCTTGCAAGTTAAGGCTTCCCAAGCCCCGGCGACCACTCCCCGCCCTCATCGGACCGGGTTGTCACACTCTCCCCCTTCAAGCATAGGGTCCTCGCTGTGGCCTCACATGCGGTCGGGAGTCGGCTCTGATACCACCTGTAACGACTTGGGTCCCACTCGCAATATATTGTCCGCTTTGGACACAAAGTCCTCACGGTTTTGTTCCTCCGAAGGCAGTCCATACTACCCCAGAAAAGGCCTCTTGCAAGTTAAGGCTTCCCAAGCCTTTATAAGTTGCCCGGGACTCCCCCCTCAAGCGACGTGGGAGGAGCCGCTCCTTGTCCAGGTCCTCGGACCCCGGCGACCACTCCCCGCCCTCATCGGACCGGGTTGTTACAGTAACTATCTTCGACTAGAAATGAAAGGGAGTCTTTGGAGGAGGATCATAAAGCTCAATGTATGCATGCACACATAATGCGGGTAAAAGTAGTCAAATGACAGTCGGGGCTTCTTCGAATTTATCATACAGAGCATGCTTATTGCCAGGAAATCGTCCTTCAAACGAGATTAGTTTCTGAAAACTCATGCAGGGGATTATGCCGATCCTCAACATGATTTAAAGATACTGGATTGATATACAACGTAAAAGTGAAATCCAACTAGGTCGACTGCCCAAGCAGCAAAAGTAAGCAGGTAATACCATGAGGAGGATCATTTAGCTTTTTCCAAACGTGGTGTTTTCTGTGGGAATGGCCAAGTCAATCCTAAGATAATTTCAAATTTTGAAGCAATCTGACTTCGCCTCTTCCCTAAATGAAAAGTACTTTTCAAGACCAAACTACCCGAATTGGAGCAAATAGATTGAAGAAGACTGAAGTATCCCAAACTAAGATTGCATTGAAACGGTTTAAATTGCAACTAGTAGTTAAAAAACCAGAACTCCGAACTGAAAACCATCAGCCTAAGTGTAGTGATATCCTAGCAACTACTAGGTAAAGGGAGAATACATCAAATGTTGTTTTTAATTTTGCCAGTCTCTGTGTCTCCATAAAGCCTCCTCTTTTTCTCCTGCTGCGTTCTCAGTAAAACTTCCATTGCTAGGTTCCTTGAGATCTTGCCACTTGCCCACTACTCCCTTGTCTGTGAGTGTAGTCAATCCAAGTTCAATGCAGTCTTAGGACTGTTGCAACTTGCATCAATTGGCAGACTTGCCTAACACTGTTGTTTGACAATTGACAGTTTGCCTAGTACAAGTTTCCTCTCATTCAATCGACATGGGTATCAACAAAAAATGCTCACCCTAACACAGCTCTTTCTATTCCAGCTCGTATTTCTGATGTTCATTCTATGGCTTTTCAAGATTTGATGCTCAGTATGATTAATTGACCCAATAGTGGCAAAATGCTGGATTCGTTTGGAAAAACAAGAGTACACCTTTTAAGAGGAAAGCTTCTAATTTTGATAAATAAGCAGTGGAAGAAGCAATCAAATTTCGTAAGAGTATAAATTATTCGGTCATGAGAACTCGGGGATGTGCAGCAGATACTTAAGAAATTATCAATGGATGAAAGCCGCAACTGAGGAACCAGAAAGTCCAAAGCAGAGCAGCTGCAGTATTTCTGAAAAGGTACTAAATTTGAATAACAAAATCTGTATTAGTGATACAATGCTTTTGCACTGAAAGAAGCTCTATTGCACATCAAACAGAAACTCAGTTTTACATTAGAAATGGATTCCAAAATCAGGCACCAGCATCAGTCGACCGCTACCTAGTGGAAATTAGAAAATATCGCCTGAGATATTATCAACGACGGGAGACTTTTCTCTCGAGAATTAACTTTCTTTCCGCATTAGGGAAACCAACCGTCTAGGAGAACTTATTGCTTCCAGAAATGTTTAGATTTACCTCCAAGCGATTAACTGAAGAAATTCCACAATCATTAAAGCATAGTACGTGCTGGTAAGAGGCTCGACTCTCTTTGATCTGGCTATATCAAGATTCACTCCTTAAAGATTAAAGATCCAGTTTGCTGTCTATGCCAAATGTATATCACTAACATATTAAGCCCAAAGGAAAAGGGAATCTGTTTACAATTTTAGTAGCTAAAATTTGTAACTGGCATCGAATGCAACAACAAGAGGAACTAATTCTCCATTTAGTTTGATCCTAAGAAGTCGACATGGATTATTCAATCAAATTCATGATCTCTGAAGATTAAAGGAAAAACTCATCCACTATGAGGCCGAGAATAAGCTAATGAAATTCAGAATCACTATGCAAAATAATCTGGATCCGGTCTATCTGACAGATAAAAGAATCTTCGGAAAATTTTAGCTGAGATATTTAAAAGAATGATCTACGTACTCTCACTTTACATGTGAAATCTTGACTGAATATTCACAAATTAATAGAATATCATAGCTGCGGGACCTGTTGCCGTGGTATCTACAGTTGCTATCTAGCTTCTATGACAGAATAGCTTATATCTTTAGTTGAACGATCTTGCTGATGAAGTAAATTACAATAATCAATATGGGCTGAGAACGCTGGCTTCTTTGGTGGGGGCAGATCTGCACTTTCGTTGCTTAATACAGTAACAATATCTGACATCGAGGGTCTATCTTCTGGGTGTTCTTGCACGCACAGCAAAGCAATGCGGAGGCATAGCAACAATTTGCCAATCGACGATGTGTTGGCCACCACTGGATCAATTAACTCTATTCCTCGGTCACTACTCCAGAGCTCCCAAGCCTATATGCAGACAGTTTTTAAGGACTAGTTCAGTACTTCAATTGGGAAGCTGAGCAAATAGGAGATTTGGATAAGAGACTCATAAGAAGAATGCGATCACTTACATGTCCAAGCAGGTTTAGAGAGTGATCTAGATTGGCGAAAGTTGTGTTTCTTTGGCCACTAATGATTTCGACAATAATGACTCCAAAGCTGAATACATCAGACTTTGTAGAGAAAAGCCCATGTACGGCGTACTCTGGAGACATATAGCCACTGCTCACAAAAAAAAACAGAAAACAGTTAAAACATATCAGAAAACATGTGGTATCGAAGTTTACATGTGTATGGGAGAGACTTACTAGGTTCCCACAACTTTATTCGTCCTTGCCCTTGCTTCGTTCTCCCCAAAAATTCTTGCCATCCCGAAATCTGATATTTTTGGGTTCATGTCTTCATCTAGCAATATGTTGCTGGTTTTCAAATCTCGATGTATGATCCTTAACCTAGAATACTTGTGTAAGTAAAGAAGCCCTTGAGCTATTCCTTCAATTATAGAAACTCGTCTCCTCCAGTCCAGTAATTGCTTCTTGTTACGATCTGTAATTTATCTCATGAGTGACCAAAAAAATGAATGTGGGACTATAAATCAATAAAGGCAATTTAACGATCCGGTTACATACCGAAAAGAAAGGTATCCAAGCTTTTGTTTTCCATGTACTCATAGATCAAAATCTTTTCCTCCCTTTCTATGCAACAGCCCAACAACTTAACGAGATTCCGATGTTGAAGCTTGGATATTAATTGAACCTCGTTTTTGAATTCCTCTATTCCTTGTCCGGACTTCCTAGAAAGTCTTTTTACTGCGAATTCATGCCCCAGCAACATGCCCTGCAAAAAGTTTTTAGAGGAATGTTGAAGAATCAAGCTTCCCATCATAACGAGAGTCAGGACTTCGTAACACTGCTTCTAATGAAGAGAGACAAAATGAACCGAAAATAAAAGATAAACCCACAAGTAACCAAGTGTTCTTTGGTGGGCAAACTACCTTGTAAACAGGCCCAAAACCACCCTCTCCAAGTTCATTTGCGGGGGAGAAATTATTTGTAGATGTTGCGACACAAGAGAAACTGAGAATCGGTAGCTCGTGATCCCTCTTTCTGACAGAATCAAGTCTACTAGTGCTGTTGCTGTGACCTCGTGGTGAACTCAGTTGTCGTAGAAACAGATCCAAACTTCGATTGGCGCTGGTCCGATTCTCCTTCCACGCTGCTACTTGAGAATCAAACAAACTATTCAGGCTAAGAAGACAAATATCTTATGAATTTGTTCAGGCTAAGATCTTAATCAGTACCTAGACAAGTGGAACACTTCCCTCTTGAGATGAACATTGCCACAGAAACTACCAATATAACCGCAGGAATGATTACAATCACCCAGAGCAGCCTCTTGTTAGCAAAACCTGAAAATAGAACCATCTCATTTTCTGCACCGGGAGTGATATGAAAAAATAAGGGCCTGTGCTATTATAACTTTTAAACAGAAAGATGAACGCTTAATGATGCATATACGAGGAAAATTAATGCCAATATGCAAACATAAAATATACTTCAGCCAGGTAAGTGGAAAATTATGGGTCAGAAATTATTTGTTGTTTTCTTGACATGATTTTGAGAGTCAAAACTCTTTCAAGTACTAAGATGAGGCCTACCCGATCTCCTCGGATCTTGATCGGCTGCTTCGGTAGCATTCCTGCGGATAAATATAGTGGCATTCCCTTGGCCAATGTGGTCTACAATAGAGCTAATGTCCACATAATAAAACACGCATCCAGTTCCGTCATCACGATAAGAAGCAAAACCAGTGCAAGAGCAATTGGTTCTGCACATGATCTCGCAGTCGCTAATACCCAGACGATCGGATTC